GCATGGGGATGGCTGGCCCCATAGAGGCCTCGGCCTTCAGCTTCAGGTTTTCATCCCCTTGGTCTCTCCTTCTTCTTTTTAGTTATGTTTTAATTTATGGTTTTATATGTTTATATATTTATGTTCTAATGTTTATTGTGAATCGCCCAGAGTTCCCCCATTGGGGGGAGATGGGCGGGAGAAAATTTTAATAAATAAATAAATAAATAAATAAATTTATTAATCCAATGGAAAGATGAATATGCACCATAAGAAAGACATTTTTCACAAAGCCACAGAGAAATCAGAATTTACTTGATTGCAATTCTCTCTCTCTCTCTCTCTCTTTCTTTCTCTCTCTCTCACACATACATACTCTTGTATGCTATCAGATTTATTCCTGATAATTTTGCACTTGCATTCAGATTGTGAGGAGTGTGAGAGTGGGTGGCAATGCAGATCACGTGAAGAATGTTTGAGGCTGTAAAGCATTTCGGACAGACTCTACTGTAGATATCTATGAGGCATAATAATCTTGATAGTTTTACTCCTACTGTTGTGCCTTATGATTTATAAGTCTGACATGAAACTTTGCATTATTGATAATCCCCTCCCTATTCAACACAACTATTTCCAATCTGGTTATCTCATTGTTGGTTGCATTACTTCTGTTACCTTCATGCCTACAGACCCAGTTACCTTCTGTGAAGTTCCCCATTCATTTATTGGTGAACCAATGTAAGAAATTAGTTTTCTTTTCAAGAATGCAAATCCAGCTCATATTCTGGGATAGTCCTAGTCTACACACTAAAGTGAGTTACAATGCTGCAAGTGTAATTTCTCCAGTACAAATAAATACAAGATCATAACTAAGGCTGAAATGTACTAAAATATCTGAATTGGAGGTGAATCTTGGACAGATTTCCTTTAAATTGTAGACGTCCTAGACGTCCAAATACAGTTTCTGTGAAGTCTTCACAGCCTTACCACAATTTCACCATAATGAACATTCAAAAGCTTCTAGTTGATTAACAGTGGCAAGCAATATTAATTTATGCAGACAACATTCTGTCAATTAACAGAAGAGTCAATGGTATGCACTCATAGACCCAACCTGACCATTTGGCAAGTTTATGTCCATCAGAGCTTTCCTATATTGTAAGGAATATTGTAATGGAAGGAATTCAATGTCCTTCCACTATAAATATACTCCTGGAATCTAGGTTTAACTATGGCACTTTAAATGAATCCTTGAGAATGGAGGATGCTTTCTTATTCAGAGTAGGTGATCTCCTTTTAAGAATCTATTGTGGAACCCTTAGGGATTAATAATTATAGGTTAGTCTCCAGTCATCCATGGCTGGGGAAGGTTATAGGGATCCAGATGTGTTTATTGCGGATGATGATTTTGGATGATCAGGTGGATTCTCCTGTTTTGGAAGGGGTTACCTATCCCAGAAAGAACAGGAATCCATTATGGGAATGTTTTTGGATTCAGGTTTTGAATGTTGAGAGGGGCATGTTGCAGACCACTCCAGTCAAGGAATTTTGACTGGCAGGGTCTAGGAAGAGGACCTTTTCTGTTGTGGCCTCTGCTCTGTGGAACACCATACTACCCAAAGTTCAGTGTGCTTCTACTCTCATGGTCTTCAGGAAGTGTGTAAAATCTTGGCTATGCCAGATAGCCTGGGGGCCTGATGGGGTCTTGCATCATTGGAATTGGCTCGTGGCATAATTGATTCTACCACCCCATCATCTTGAATGTTTTAGTCTTTTTATGTATATAGTCTTTTTATACAGTTTAATTTTTTTTAACTAAATTAATGTGGATATTTATATTTTTAACTGTTTTTGAGGTTTGATTTTAATTGTCAACCACCCAGAGTCACCCTCTGGGGGAGATGGGTGGCACATAAATTTTATATATATACAGTATGTATGTATGTATGTATGTATGTATGTATGTTACTATGGTGTATCAGACTGAAAGGAGCACTATTTCATCAGTTTTTCTTAATTTGATAGCTTCATCCCCACATCATGAAACAGTGGTACATCAGTTGATAACCTCCAGTATGAACTATTGCTAGGCATTCTGTATAGGGCTCCCTTTGTATATCAGGTCCAAACTTCAAAAGCTAATAGCCAACTTGGTCTCTGGGGATATTTGGAGTGAAAAATGTTTTGGTTGTCATTAGAGAGTTGCACTGACTGTCCAAAATTCCTTGATGAAATATCAAGCTCTAGCTGTCATCTTTAGAACTCTAAATAGCTTTAAATTTTTATCTGACAATTCTCAGCAAACTGTCTAGTACTGATTAGATTGTCAGAAGAGGTCCATTTTCAGGTTCTACCAGCTCATCTTTCAGTGATCTAAGACCAGGTCTTCTCAGTTTCCCAGTTTATAGAATTGGATGTTAGGAGTCTACCTTTTTTAGAGGCCTTTGAGGGTGCCAAAGAAGCTTTTTTCTTCACCCAGTCTCTTAAACAGGATTTAAACATTCTAAATAGATTTTAATATTGGTTAGAATCAATGTTGATTTAATCTGTTTATTTTGTTTGAATGTATCTGAACTATTTCAATTTTAATGTAAGTTTCCCTGAGACCTTTTAGAAGTGTGGTATAGAAATGAAATGGCAACCACTACCTCTATTACTCCATGAGGCAACCATCAACTCAAAAAAGTATTTTAAAAATGAGAGGGAGTGATGTTTTATACATCAGGATATATATGTATGTTTTAAATGTTGTCAAATAGCTGGAAACAAACCAAACATTCAGCTCAAAATCTTAAACACGAATTTCAAGTTTAATTCCAGTGTCATCACTGGCTCCTATTCAGAACTGATTTTTAATTAAGTCATATGCTGATGGAACAAGCATATAAACAAGCTTCAGATGAGGAGAAAAGGAGCTGGAGCCTTCTTATGGAAATCTTAAAATATAGCTCCTGTTTTAAATTTCTGTTTCTATGAACACTGATGATTTGCATTTTTCTCATGCATTAAAGGACAAGGAACGCCTTAAATCCAGAAGAACTTTTCCCAATACCACCTTGCAACAGCATGATCCTGGAAAAAGATGGAAGTTTTTAAGGAGTTGCAAACAGCGAATGTATTTGTGTCCTCATGTTCTTGAAGCAATTGTTGCCTTCATGTTTGGCCTGGCTTTAGAATCAATCATGGATTCCTCAGGCTTTGCTGTGTCTCACCACCCCTCATCTCAAGAACTTTTCCTTGATTATTTGTTGACTGATTGTTCAGCTGAAGGATGGAATTGCAAGTAACATGTTTAGAATTGAGAGGCATATTCTTAATTCCACAGAGAAATTGAAATGTAAAGGTTGCAATTTTCTCTCCCTCGTATAATTATCAAAAAGTCTACTACTGCATTTGCTGCTTGTCAAAGACCGAATTGACAATTTATTCTTACAAAGAACAATGAGTCCTGAGTCCTGGTGTACAGTTTAAATGTTTTTTACATGCTTTTAAAAATCTGTCTTTGGAATTTAGGGATCAGTATCAGACTGATCTCTCAGAATGACTTTTATTTTCAGGTGCAGAAGAGAATGGGAGTTATGTGAGGAACAGAGAGATTCAATTTGAGCCACTTCCTTCTCAGAGACTCTTAAACATTATACGGAAATGAGAGAAAGTCTGTAAACTAGGATCAATATTTAACATGATATTGATTTTTGTATTACTGCTATTGCCACATATGGCTTGCAAGACTCAAAAAATAAAATGCAAAATCAGACACCCTGTCCCAATTGTTCACAATTATTTCCAGCCAGGTGACCTAATCGTTGGTGGTATTACTTCTTTTGTTTTCATGTCTAGAGATGTGAAAACCTTTGAGGGAGATCCTCATCATTCTGTGGTTGGTGAACCCCTGTAAGACATTAATCTTACTTTCTTTCCATAACCTATATCACTCTAGATGACATTCTTTAACAGACCCACTCTGTGAATTACAGTTAGCCACAATAATGCAAATGTAACCTTTCCCAGCTAAAATATCAATGACAATATATATTTCAAATCATATATTATTTCCTTTTACTTTCTAAAGTCAATCATCAGCTAGATTCTGAGTTCTTTAAAACAAGGGGGGGGGGAATTGACTATGCAGTATTTCATAATTAGCAGAATCTGACAATACAGATTTTTTTCTATTAAAGTTGGGGATTACTGTCCTGCTTTTTATTTAATTGGTAAAATCCTTATTCTGGCTCTGTTAATTTTCTTAATTTTCCCCTCCCAATTTCTCTGTTACACCAAATTCTTGCAGCTAAGTTTACCAAGGCAATAAAGATTACATGAGTACCTTTTTTTTTTTTAACAGTTGCAGTTAAGGAAGAAAATTTTGAATTTTGGATAACGTTAAGTGGCATTTCTAAAATTGTAAGACGATTGAATAGTATGTAATTAATGTGTTACAATATATGCCATACTAATTCTTTGTGGTTCTGTAGGAGTCATAGCTGATGAGCTTTAATGAAGGACATAATTTCTTGGGAAAGCTAAACCAGGCTAAATGCAAGATCTATTCCATTTCTTTGCAGTGCCTTAAATTAAAATGTTGGAAAATTTTGAATTGTACTCCACAGCTTTAATTCGATGCCTATTTTATATGCAGGGCAATTATTTTGCTCTTTCACGTAATAAAAATTGCTTAGAAATAGCAAGCGAAGGCACTAGTGATTATACCATAGAAAACTAAGTACAAAATATTTAAATTTAATGGTAATCAATAAATCAGTTAATGTGAAGCAGTGACTGTTGCCTTACATGATGTGATTTTGATGGGGTTTAATTTCACTGCTTTTTTTAGCTGCGGAATTTCATTTGATACAACATCTAATTCCCATTGCAGAGTCCTGACTAAGTATTATCAGCATGTCTTGACCATGTTATTTGCTGTGAAGATGATCAATGAAAACCCTCAGCTCTTACCTAACATCACCTTGGGCTTCAGAATCTATGACACTTATGGTGGGGAGTACACATATCATGCCACGATGGAACTTTTCTCTAGTCAGAACAGATTCCAACCCAACTCCAAGTGTGGTATCCTGAACAAACTCATATCGGTTGTTGGAGCTCTTGATCCTGCAATTTCTTTTGATATGGCAGATATTTTAGGTATTTACAAAGTTCCACAGGTAAGATGCATTAATGATAACTTGTCTATATCTTGCTTTGCCTTTTAAATAAATGCTATTGTAAGACCTTAAGATAAATTTAAATTTTATTTATATTTTTCAAAGAAGTATATTTAATAAAATGTAATTATTAAAGCAGAAACAGAGTGAATTCAAAATCTAATGTAATGATAGGTCAGTCTAAAAAATTAACCATTCCTGAAAATTAAAAATTACCTGTTAGGCAGGTACTTTGAATTTCTGTAGTCTTCTCATATAAAGTCACTAATGAGAGGAGCAAAAAGTTCAATAAGATTTCTGAATTTTTAAAACTTTATGACTTCATTAGATTTATATCCTACCTTGCATTCAGGAGCTCAAGGCAATATAGGTAGCACTGTCTCTAACCTGAAGAGACAGGTTGGGTTGAGAGAGAGTGGCTGGCTCAAAGTTTCACAGTGAGCACCTTTGGCTGAGGATGGATTTGAACCTGGGCCTTCCCACTCCTCATCCACCATTGGAGGCAGGGCTCTTCATGGTAGAATTTCAAGAAGAATATATGTAGAAATCAGGGTGCATTTGTTGTACAATATGAATGAGGACAGGATCCATTCCAGAAATGTGTTCAAGCACTAAATCTTGGAGAACTATGTATTTTAGTGAAAGAAAAGATATATTTGAACTTAGACCCATAGTGGCTCCCTGCATAAAAGCAACTACCACTCCAGCAGATGATATCTGGGCAGCCTCAGAAGCCTCATTGACATTTACATTGGCACACAAAAAAGACCTTTTTATTCCTAGGAAGTCCTCCATGGTGTGGGTCCCTTCCCCTCAGTAATTCAACCTTAATCTGAGAAAAACAGGTAATGAAGATTATTTGGGTCACAGGCACTGACAGAATTATCTTTTGGGATGCAGTCTAAAAACTGGGCAATTTAAGGTGGTGTATTGCCAGTTGTCAAGACAGTAATCTGGGGCCCAGGCAACTGGATCTTTTAGTTCTTTTAGATCCAGAGACAATGAACACACTAGCAGGTGAGGAGATTTTAAGCTTTATCATTAACTAGCAAATAGATTTAAACAGGAATATAAGAATATAAGATAGCATTAAACAGAAATACAAAGACATAGTATAAAAGCATAACAAAGTAAGGAAGATGATAAAACTCTTCCCCTACTATCGGAGCTACCATAAGGCGACAGCAGAGAGACCCCAAGATGGCTTAGATAACACAGTTCCTGGTACCAAGGCCTGCGTCCACACTCCAAGACTCAAGGGGCAATACCAGGGCATTTATCAAAGTCTGGCATTACCATTTCATGGCTCTTTTCCCATGGCATTGAGGCTGTGGAACCAGACCTTGTCCAGATAGTTCCCAGGGTCTGAGAACAATACAGATATGCCAGTGCTTAACCTAAACAATCCTGAGGGTTTCCTTCCCCCACCTTCCATGTAAAAGTAAAAAACAAGCCAGCTAAACATTTTTATGATTCAGAGTGAACTGTCTTAACATGTGCAGGAGAATTCAAAACATGTCACCTAAACTCCTTGAAATAACTATGGTTTTCCATGCCTCTACATGTGGCAAACCAAGAGGCACATAAATCAGTTTACTTGAAGCCTGGAATGTTTAAAACATATGGTAAATTAATAAGCACAGGATAATTTTGCAACAAATAGTTCGATTTCTGTAAATAATCTCCTCAGGAAACTTAACAAGTTTCTTTTGTGCTTTGCTTCTTGCTTCTTGGGTAGATTTTGTTTGTTTGTTTTTGGGCTTGTTTAATATTGACTCATTGGTTATTATGTTTTAGAACTGAGGTAGGCTAAAAGTACTGTAAGTAAATAAATAAATAGATAAATAAACACATACATAAGCATGCAAGCCATGGCTATCTCCTAAATATCAATGACTTCATGAAACAATTCTTAATGATGGTATGAACCAAGAAATTGTTATTTGATATTTTATCCTCATATATAGCATTAAACACTGAAGGATTCACTGCAAACTATGCTCGGTAATGCAAACAATATTTATTACTTAACAGAGATTTGTTTTTAAACTAGAACTATATGCAATCTTTAGAGTCTGCAGAAGAAGGAGCTTACAAGTGCTCTATGGTTCTACAACATAGGATAAACCACTTTCACAGACAAAATTATTTCCATCGTTGAAGAAATATCTAAGTAATAAGAGGATGGAAATTCATAGAATCATAGAACTATGAAAATGGAAGGGAACACAACAATTATCTACTGCGAACCAAGTCTCACAAATAATTTATGCACATAGAAAATGTGAAAGCATATTCTGAGAAAATCCAGCAGTCTTCATTTGCAGAAGATGCATTTTTTTCGGAGGGGGGGGAGGTCAACCATTTTCCTACTTATTATTATTTTTTTTATTTTATTTCTATAGTTCCTATATGGCCCTTCTCCAAGTATGAATGATAAAACTGAAATCCCTTTCTACTACCACATGGTTCCAGATGAAGATTTCCATTTTAGGGGGATTCTTCAGCTACTTTTGCACTTCAGGTGGACCTGGGTTGGGATACTTGTGAAAGGACTTGGTGGAGCAAAATTTGAACAACTGATTTTTTCAATGTTTTCTCTCAATGGCATCTGTATTGCCTTCTTGGAGCAGCTCAGGACAATTTATGTCAATAATATCTCTGACAGCCTAAAATGGCTTGTGGAGACATTTCATCTTTTTATGAACAGCAAGGCTAATGTTGTGATAATCAATGATAAATATGTTTTACATTTGAGATGGTTGTTATATCTCCCTGAAATGGAAATAGTTTCTATTAAGCCAAAAGGTAAGGTGTGGATCATGGCCTCCCAAATGGGTCTTGCATCATTCTTTTATCAGAAGAGCTGGGACATCCAAGACCTCCATGGTACACTGTCCTTTGCAGCTTATTCAAATGAAGTTGAAGGATTTCAGCATTTTCTTAAGACCAGAAATCATTTCTCATTCATTCATCAAGATGGTTTCCTCAAAAATGTGTGGGAGCATGCATTTGGCTGCATATTTCCAAACCCATCTGTGAGTGAGGAAACGGAGGATGTCTGCACTGGGAAGGAGAAACTGGAGAACCTTCCTGGGGCTTTTTTTGAAATGAGGATGACCAGTCAGAGTTACAGTATATACAATGCAGTGTATGCTGTGGCACATGCTTTTCATGCCATGCAGTTGGGCCAACAACAGCATCGGAGAAGATGGAATCTTCAGGACACCCAGCCATGGCAGGTAATTTTCTGAAAAGTCAAATATTTCAGGAATGGCACTTGAATTGTAGGAATTCTTCAGCACATATACTTCCTCCTGATCACAAAGCGCAGTGAGGGTTAGACAGATAGTTCAGAATGAGTTGTGCTTTCCTCTTTATCTCTCATGCTGCTTCTTTTGGTGAGATAGTAAATCTCAAGATATTTTACTTCTGCCTTTGTCTTCCAAGTTCACTTGGTCTCTAATTTTCTTCCTGTTAGGATGGAGCGGGTTGAAATCTGTGTTTTACTTATGCTGTCACTCCACCACACACACCCCACGTATTTCATGTCACCAACTGTACTTTTGTTAAAATTACAAAGAGCTGTTTGCTCAGTTAAATTCCCACTCTGCAGAACCACACTCAAAACTATTTAAGTTAACAAAGTAACAAGCCGAGAGTGATGAATAAAGTGATTCTGTGAAAGGGAGAGAAGGGTATATCTTCCTGAGCAGCTGAAGAAAAGACTAGAAAAAGAAAGATGACAAACTTCAGAATTGTGACTGTACAATCTCAATTAGTGGAGAGGCAGAATGATGAAGACAGAATAAGAATAAGCAGAAGAGAGAAAGAAGTGAGTATGGAGAGAAGTTAAATAACAGACCATTAAAAAGAGAAAGATTAAACAGAGAAGAAAAGAAGGTGATGTTCTGAGATGCTTGTATGATGCTCAAATGCTTCCAGACCTATCCAACCCACTAGCCTTTCCACATTGTCTAATGGAAAGGAAGAACTGAGACTTTCAGAGAAGGAGGAGGTTATAGAATTTTTTTGGTAATATTTGAACATGTTATGGTTGCTTGCAAATGATCCAGAGAAGAATCAGTGGTTCATTGAGTTCTATGTTTAACAGGAACAGCTTTAAGAAATTATATAGGGCTCCTGCACAAGAAATATCTGACTATAAGTTAAGAAGGAGATGTTGTATAGCAATGAGATAACCAAGGTTTAGGCAACACCTCTAAAACCAGAGGAAAGGGTGAGAGAGTTTTGGGCAAAGTCAGCAAAGAAAGCATTACAAGTGGAAATGGACAGGCTCATACAGTGCCCTTAGTACAGCCTCAGTGTTAAATAGAAGAGACTTAGAGAAATCTTCTGGTAGCAAAAATCCCAAGGCTTCCTTTTGATTTTCTTGCTGTTCCTTCACCATCAGTCACCTGATTAGCTACACTTTATCCCAATAGCTGCTATATTCCACTCCTCTCCACTCCACTGCATTCCACTCCATTCCCTTCCTTTGGGTGTTAATGAGAGCCAGGTACCACAGCTTCCTCCCCACAGAGGGAGACACAATTAGAACCACAGCTAAAGTGAACTTATCTCCCTTGGAAAAATTGCCCTCCCAATCCCTGGTTTGCAGGGCAACTGCTTGGCATCCAAATGACCAGTATAAGGTCACCTAACATGGAAGAGGTGTTGCATCCTACAGAGATCCTTGTTTTACTGACTTCCTCTCCCATCATGACATCATATTAATTCAGGAAACATGCACTGCAGATGAACTGCTATTTAATGGATTTCATTCATTTTCAGTTGGGGCAGAACCATGGAAGAGAGAAAGAGGGCCTGGAGGTATTAGTCTACTGAATGAGAATGAGTGGTATTGACTATTTAATTGTATCTAGGAACCTACTCTCTTATTACAAGGCCCTAGAAGTTATGCATAAGTTTGAAAGCAATCACTTCCCAATCCTGCTCCAGTTAAAACTCTTCATTCAAGAGACACATACTGAGGACTGCTACCAACCCTTCCTAATGCCCCCAGGAAGAACTTATTGCCAAGCCAAGTGGACCCCCCATCTAAATCAAATGATAACTGAGCTACTGGCCTCAGATCACATACAGAGCCTTCAGTCTGCCCTGACATCATCTGAGTCTCCTGATGCACCCTTGGAGAACTATAACTCCATTACCCAAGGGGTCCACCAACATCTACCTTGTAGTAACAGTGCATCCTTGAGGCAACACAGCACCACTCCAAGCCATGGTTTTGGCAAAGACTTTGTTAATGTCAAGAAAGCTTTTGCTACCACTTACCAGGCTTATGTATCCAATACTAAACCAACCACTGCACTGGATCTCCTGCAGCAGAAGAGATACTATCAACAATTGCTGCCATGCAAAAAAAGTGAACCCGTGAAAAAGAAGACACAACTCATTCACACATTCAAATCCAATGACTCAACCTCATTCTGGCACATCAAAACTTAAACAAAAACAAAAACAGGACAAAATAATTTTATAGAGAAAGTAAAAAAAAGACTAATAAAATGTGGAAAGACTTGGCCACCCTCACCAATCTCAATGTTTCTTAACATCCAGCAGAACATCCCATAACCTACTAAGAGCAACAAAAGGGGTTTTATGTATCTCTTTCTCACCACCAAGTGACTGGCTAGATTTTTTTCAGTCCACACTTGGCAAGCAACAATCTAGAATTATAGCTACAATAAACATATCTATTATATTATTTCTACATTTATATCTCTGTATCTGAAGATGTTCAATCTCTATATCTTTAGCTATATAATCTATTTTGATCTTTAAATGCTGTAGCAACTTGCTCAAATTATATTTGCAGTATTTTCCAGAATCCCACTTATCTTTTCAGTCTAAATGAAACTGTCCTTTGTCTAATTTTGCACCCCTCCATCTCCCCTCATCGTCTTCCCCTGCATCTAGGGATCACTCCAATTTGAGCACAAACATATTGGTCACTGAATCCAATCTTCTGTTCCCTATCATGGAACGTTACAGAACCAGTAAAAATAGTCACCTTCCCTCCCTCCCTC